GATCGTTCGCGCGACCCAGCGGGACAGGTTGGGAAGCTCTATCCAGGCTCCCAAGGACTGTACCAGCGGGGTCATGCGAACCACAGACTTCCCGTCGGTGGAGCAGCGAGGCGGTATGGCTGACCCAGACGTGGACGGCATAGCGGCCCGGTGTGGGGGTACAGCCATAGACCGCGTCCTGACGGAGGAGACCAGGGAAGGACGAACGTTCCACGGGGGTCTGCTCTGCCAGGGGTCTGGCGACAGAGGAGGATGAGAGCGGCACGGTCCGGGGACGGCGCGCACTGTCATCCGGCTCTGGGACAGAGGAGGACGAGGGGTGCACGGCCCGGGGGCGGCGCACCGTGTCGTCCGAGAACTCTGTGTGCTCAGAGACGGGAGAGTCATCTCTTTCTGGAATAAGGATTCTTCCCCGGCCCTCCACCAGGGAAAGGAGTGGCCCTGCTACCAGCTCCTGGAAAGAACTGAGTCCCACCTCTGAGCAGCCCATCTCAAGAGTGCCGCTTAACCCGGCGTATAGCGGGGAGCGGGGCTGGAGAGGGCTGTGGCGTCCCCCTGCGGCTTCCAGAGCCAGCCCGGGTGAACGGGCGGGGTGGGAGCCGCAGGAGGGCGCCTTCGGCGGTGGGCAGACCGAGGTATCTACTCGGACGGCGGGGCCGTCGGGACAGAATAAGCCTCAGTCTGCTCGTGGGCGGTTGAGAACTGTTGGGCAAAGCCCTCAACCGCACCGCCGAAGAGGCCGACCTGGGATATGGGGGTGTCAAGCAGATGGGTCCGCCCGACATCCTGCACATCAGACAGGTTCAGCCACAGAATGGTGAACATCACCTGACCCAGGGAGCGTATGGCCACTTTCGTCGCTCGGAGAGCAAGGTCAGTGGCGGCGCGCAGCTCATTGAAGAGCCCTGGGTCAGTCCCGCCCTCGTGCATGTCCGTGAGCATCTGGGTCTGGTAGACCAGCAGAATGGCCATGGCATGCAGTGAGGCGGCTGCCTGTCCTGTAGCGCTATAGGAATTCGCCACAAGTGTAGACGAAAAACTACAGGCTTTGGACGGGTGCTTAGGATCGCGCCGAGAGGAAGCACTCTGAGGACACAGTAGCATCGCAACAGAGCGTTCAACCGGGGGGACCCCAGTGTACCCATGGGCAGCGGCCCCGTCGAGGGAAGGAAGGGCGGAGGAGATCTACGAGGGATCGCTGAAAGACATGGGGGTCTTCGAGGATTTCGAGATCTCCTGATGCACATCCGGGAAGAAAGGCATTGGAGTGGACGCCGACAGGAGTCAGCGGCCACACCCAAAACCAATCGTCCAGCAGCGAGCGCTCGGACAGGGTGAAAGGTTCCACTCTAGTCCGATGCTCGCAGCGGCCCGGGAAAGCATGGCCGTCATCTCAGGATCTGACTCGACAAATGCCATATGCACACCCAAAAGTGGCAGCACTGTCGAATCTTCACTTCCTGAAGATTCTAGCCCGCCCTGTGATGCTGCGATGGACAACAGATCCGATTCTGGAGCGTCAAGGGAAACCCGCGGGGCATCCGAAAATAGACCCGGGGAATCCCCTGAACACTCGCGGGTTGCGTCACTGAAGAGGGGGGCGTGATCCACGGACAAACAGTCGGCGGATTTGTTCCACACTCACACCCTCAGGTCACCCTGGCCACCAGCCGAAGTAGCACCTCACGTGGAGAGTGTTAGATCGGGGTGTGGATGAGGGGACTCTCTCTCTAACGAGATCATTGAGTCTCGACCGTAATGACGCGATGGTCACGTTCCCGCGGGGTTTTAATTCTAAAACTCTGTTCTCCATCCTCACGTCCATTACAAAACCTCCTGACTCTCTTCCCTACCATATGCAATCTCAAGACTTTTGCAATAAACTTATGTCCTTTTTTGTTTCCAAAATCACAGACATCCATAAAGACCTGACCTCATCTGGAGCTGCTGCTTCTGGAGGCAACTTTAACACCCCTTATCCATTCCCAACTACTACTTTTTCAAGTTTCGACCTTCCCTCTGTCCAAGCCATTTCGGACATTATTCATAAATCTAAACCCTCCACATGTCAGCTCGACCCACTTCCCTCCAGCCTGGTTAAATCCTGCTGCTCTTCACTTGCCCCTCTCATCACTGAGATTATTCACTCTTCCCTAAGCTCTGGTTCAGTCCCCCCTTCACTCAAAATTGCCTCAGTCACACCCATTCTGAAAAAACCTGGTCTGGACCCCACTAATTTTAGCAATCTCCGTCCCATATCTAACCTACCCTTCATATCCAAAATCCTGGAAAAAACAGTCGCTTCTCAACTTCATACTCACCTCATGTCGAATAGCATTTACGAGCAGTTTCAATCTGGCTTCCGTCCCCTTCACAGCACTGAAACCGCACTCATCAAAATTTCAGATGACCTTCTTATGGCTTCTGATTCTGGGTTACTTTCAATTCTCATTCTTCTGGACCTCACAGCAGCTTTTGATACCATTTCTCATCCCACCCTTCTCAGTCGATTATCATCTATTGGTATCACTCACACTCCCATTGCCTGGTTTACTTCATACATTTCGGATCGCACACAGTTCATACAACTAAAAACCCAGAAATCCGTTACCTTCCCTGTCTCCGTCGGAGTGCCCCAAGGCTCTGTATTGGGGCCTCTCCTTTTTATCATATACATCCTCCCTCTTGGTCACATCCTCCGTAAATATAACACTAAATTTCATTGCTACGCGGACGACACCCAGCTCTACCTCTCTACTAAACCATCTTCCTTACTCCCGCCAACCTCTCTTACCCTCTGTCTCCAAGAAATTCACTCTTGGTTTTCATCCAACTTTCTCAAACTGAACAGTTCAAAAACCGAAGTCCTCCTGGTGGGCACACCCCACACCCTCTCTAAAGCTAATAAAGTTTCCATTACCATTGATAACTCAACTATCCTTCCCTCCCCTCACCCAGACAGGTTAAGAGTCTGGGTGTCGTCCTTGACAGCACTTTATCCTTCCACTCTCACATTAACAGCATCACCCGGTCAGCCTATTTCCACCTGCGCAACATTTCCCGCCTCCGTCCCTCTCTTACTCCAAAAACCACCGCCATCCTGGTTCACAGTCTCATCACATCACGGTTAGATTACTGCAACTCACTCCTGTTTGGCCTCCCTAATAAGTCGCTCCAGAAGCTGCAGCTCCTACAGAACTCTGCTGCACGCCTGATTACTCAGACCCCCCTTTTTCATCATATCACTCCCATCTTGCAACAACTTCACTGGCTTCCTGTCAAACAGAGGATCATCTTTAAAATACTTCTCATTACTTACAAAGCAGTTCATAACATGGCTCCTCCATATATCTCAGATCTTCTCCATTTAAACATCCCTATTCGTTCACTCCGATCATCTCACACCTGCCAGCTTTCTGTTCCCCCTGCTCGTCTTGTCACAATGGGGAACAGGGCGTTTAGTCGCTCTGCTCCCCATCTTTGGAATTCTCTCCCCCCAGATCTTCGTACCATCAACTCATTTAATTTCTTCAAATCCAAACTCAAAACTCACTTGTTTAGACAATCATATTCCGCCTGACCCATATCACCTCAATGTTGTCTTACCAATTTTATTGCTTACTGTTTTAATGGTTTTTATCTGTTCTGTACAGTGTCCTTGGGTGTCCTGATAAGGCGCTTTAAATAAAATGTATTATTATTATTATTATTATCCACAAACGCTGCTCTAGCGTGATCAAGCCCAAGCACGCAGAGCAGAGAATGTGCCCATCAAAATCGGAAATGAGTCGACCGCAACCAGAAATGCACGGGCGAGCCGTCTTTAAAAAGACGTGCCGCGTGCGAGCTCTTTTATGAGAGGAAAAAACAACTCCGCGATGTTGAAGCGAGCAGGGAGAACACACTCATTGGCAGATCACTGCACAGATCAGCAGGCAATGTGAACTCGCTGCAGATCGCCGTCACACCAACACCGGAGAGAGTGGCTCGTCTCGTAGAGTGAAGTCAGAAATGGCTGTGGAGTGAAGAGATGCTCTTGGCTCCGAAGCGAAAACATGCCTATTTGCTGCCAGCGTTCTCCTTAAATACCCACGAGGTGAGGCGGAGTTACGCTATGCAAATTCCGCAGACCCATGGCATTTCTTTGCCATTGGCTCGTTTTTGTATACTCGAAGTCGATAGGCTTTCTAAGCGAAACCCCCATTCGTCGTCATCCGACGGAACTCGGAGTGACAACGAAAGGGAACTACTGTTAGGACTAACTGAAAACCTGAAAAGCACTTTGTTTCTTTGTTCTATTGTATTTATTTGTACTTGTTATTGGATTATTTGTTTTTATTTTATTACTGACTGTTTACATGTTTTTAATAATGTTTTAAGTAGTTTTTGTTGTAGAATTAAAATTGTAATTTTGTAGAGAATTGTGATATATCACTGGTATCTAAACATTTGAACCACTGACCCAACCAGGCCAGAAAAAGTGGTATCAGTGCATCCCTGGTAAGAATTATGGACTTTTGTTGGTCACAGAGCATATTTTCTGCTATAGTCCAAAAGACACTGGAAAAATAGGAAAGAGAGAGGTGACATATAAGAGAGGTTCATATAAAAGTTAAGTCAAGGTTAAGCCGTGTCCCTGTCTGTTTTATATATATATATATATATATATATATATATACTGTACAAACAATAAAAGTAATGAAACTGCGGCTGACTTCTCTGACTTTCTTTGTCAGGCAAAAAAGATCATATTTAACACCTTATACTGTACATTTTGGGCCTGTAAGAGCAATGTCTATCAACAGCTGTGCTCCCTCCACACTGTTTGCAATAGCCATTGCCAATCTGATTGGGTGGCATTATGCAAATTCTGGGGATCAGGGGCACATAAATGGGCTGAAATCTGTCATGTTTAGAGGGCTTTAATAGACTTGCTCTGATTGAGTGTTGTTTTTTATTCAAACATCCCATATAGTGATCAGAGTGTGTGAATATCTCACCAATGTCCCAGACTCCATTGGAATTGATCTCCATCTCTTTGCGCCCGATGATATACCAGATGCAGGCCATCCAGTGAGCCAGCAGAGCGAACATCGACATGAGTAGTGTTAGCACCATGGCGCTGTACTGCGAATACCTGTCCAACTTCTGCAGCAGTCTTAACAGACGCAACAATCGCACAGTTTTCAGCAGGTGCACTAGAGATGTCTTGAACAAGCACAAACATGAGTGGTGTGTCAGTAGCCTATATACATTTTGATAACATGTAATCACATATTTTACTGTAATTATAAAAAATGGAATGTCATGATAATTGAACATGGCAATCATTCTGTACCATGGCGTTTATAAGTAGATCATGGTACCACCACACATTTTTGTAAAGGACCTCTGGAGATTTCATTTGAATCATCAACAACCTATCCTTTCCACTATTTGAAATTTCCACAATTCTACAATAGTTTCTACAATCACACATGTGAACAAAATACAAATGTGAATTTATACAAATTAGTTTCTACAATCACACATTGGAACTTACAACAGTAACGTTAAATGCATAGAGCAGGTCAAAGGGCAGCGCGGCCACCAGATCCACAAAGAACCACGTGGTAGCATAATGTAGACAGATGGAGCGAGGCTCGTACACCACCTGCCCTGACTGACTCACGTAGGTGGTGCGAAAGTTAATAATGATGTCTGAAAGAGAAGGCAGGTTAATGACTTTTGCTTGGAAGTCTCATTTTGGAAGTCACATTTTATTTAATTTTTCTCTTTCGAGGCACTTTTTTTTGTTGCCAATCCCTGATATATATATATATATATATATATATATAGAGAGAGAGAGAGAGAGAGAGAGAGAGAGAGATTGGGAAAACAATTGGATCATCATATTGTTCAAGTTCTTGCATCATATGCTTATTATGAGAAATATCAAATATAGCCCAACTCAACTGCACGACAAACTCTTCATATATTACTTTTTGATGACTGCAGTTTGATGTGCTGATGGTAAACCATCTGATGCTAGGTCACTCAAATGTTCTATAGTTCAGATTCTTGCTTTCTTAGTAAACTCACCCAGAATAAAAAGCATTTCCACTGCGATGTCGCTCACTATGGTGCTCCTCCCTGCAGTCTCCAGATCGCTGTACGGAGTGAAACACACATTGTACGGCACGGTCACAGCAACATAGAATGTAGCCAGCAGAATCATCCAATCCCACAATGCCTTGGACACACTGTAATGCAGCAGGATGAATCGAGACTTCTGGACTGCTGCCACTTTGTACTCAGGCAGGGACGGTTTTTCAAATATTTCCTGAGGAGAGAAAGAAAGCCACAGATGAGCTCATGTCTTAAAGGCAGCTGTGAGATTAAATGAGCAAATAAGGAGATTTTCCGAAGTCTCTTGCTTCTCATTTGTTTCTCCTGTGAAAGTTTGATGATACCACATTAACCAAAGTAATTTTATACTGTATATATGCAGTATATACTTGAAAATATGAATGCCTTATCAAATATTTTAATGCAAATGTAAAATACTTTTTGTGCCATCCTCTTTTTTTGCCCATATAGACTTCTTATGATGTCACTTGATTATTATTCAGAAATGAATCTCTAAATATCCTTTATAAATATTACACAAATTATGTACTGCCACACTGCCTTAGAAAATTCTCAACAGTAAGTAACTTTGACTTTTGGAGGAATAGAGAAGCAGGACTGACCGAAAAATCTTATTCATTAAAGAACAATAAACCACATTGGTAACACTTTCTATGAAGCCTGTATTTATAATTAATTATTAAGGGTATTCTTAATGCATTATAATACATGTATAATACCTTACAAACAACATGTATAACATGTTCTACCATCTGATAAATAATCATAACAACGGTTACAATTAAGCGTAGCGTCAGTTCTGACAGGTCACGTTAGTCAAGCTCGCGTCAGCTGACTCTCAGCAGATCCACGTCTACCTATAGGAATATGACGCCTATCACTGTATACATATATAAGCTCTTTCAGTATTATCAGCAGCTAACGAGTTTCTCAGGAGCTAATTACCCTCCTCCATCCCCAGCTCCTCCTCTCACCCAGTCAGGATTTGACATTCTTATTCCCCTTAAAATCAGAATAAATTCTCGAATTATGTTGTTCTTTAAAATCTTGAATTAATGATTTCTGCAATACATTCATGTTGGTTCTGTTCTGTTTACCCTAAGAGGAGTTATTGCTGCTCTCCCTGCTCTTATCCATGCTAGACTGCATGGATGCGCAGGGAGTTCTCGCCCAGAACAGAACCATACCGCCAATCCCAACTGCATGCTAATTGTCAATCGTATTTGACGATAGTGTTCCTGACAGAAATGCATTCTACTTATTTGTGGTTATTACTTTTAAGAGTATGGATTATTTCATCAGATGAAGCCTGCAATTGAGGTTATAACTATTAAAAGTATGATTTATAACACCCAATGAACATAATGTTTTACCACTTACGTTATAATGGATTATATATCCCATAGTTTCATATCTTTCACTTTCCCAAGTCTCATATCTTGATATTGTTTACTTAAGATGAGTGGTCTTTTACTGATTAAAGTAAAGTGACAAAAACAAAGTCTTCTAAACATCTAAAAAGCTTTAGAATGTGGTCATAATATTTATAAGTGGTCTTTTGTCTGCTTCAAGTAAAGTGACAACAGTTAAGTAAACAGCCATAAGATATCATGAAGTGGTTATAAGACATTTCCCTTAAGGTAAAATCAAAGTTGTGTGGAAAAGTACAAAAGAACAATACATCCACAATGCAAATCATGTTTTTAATTATAAAAACTGTAAAATTACAAGGCTTTACCAAATCTAATAATTAGGTATTATTACTGTTGTTATGATTATTCATGCGATGATACAACACAAGGTTGTTTATTATGCATCATGCGTGCATCTGGTGTTATAATGCATTATAACACCACTTCATCTGGTGTTATAATGCATTATAATCTTGAAAGTTATAACCACAAGGTAATAATGTATAACTGTTGTTAAGATTATTTATCAGATGATACAACATATCATAAGGTTGTTTATAAGGCATTATGCATGTATTACTATGCATTGAGAATACCCTTATAATGCATTATAAATACGGGCTTCATAGAAAGTGTTACCACAACATTTAATCTTTATTTGCAAGGACATCACATGACAGATGACAAATCTTGGTGTTTCTTTAATTTAACTTTTACATCACATAGGTCAGGGGAAGGGTCAAACTAATGGTCTTTATAGTCAGGATTAGTTTGAGGCAGCAAATCAAGTTTCTAATCCAGCATGCTCTCATCTGCCACACTCTTCATTAAGATTTAAGAACAGACCCATGATGCAGCTGAACACACGTCAGTACCTCATGCCTTTATTACTCTCTCTGAAGATATTGTGCACTGGGATTCTGACATTATTCCTTTATTCTACTATTCCTCCATAGTCCAGGACCCTAAATCCATAAAATCTTTTCTCAATAATTAATGTTCAGTTTTTCAAGTTTAAATTTTTCAAGGGGTTGAAAGATGTGTTAGGCAAACTTTAATCTTATTTAAATCAAAGCTGCACCTCCTTGCAAGCAACTGTTTTTGCTCAGCATTTGCAGACAGGTTTGAAATACATTGTTTCCTATATTGAGTAGTTATATAAAAAACATTTTTAATATATAGACATGCATTTACAAAATAACTGGTTTAATATAAATGTATATAAATTATAGCAAATCTCAACTGGATGATTGTTCTCATTGCCCAGCTCTAGAGTGTTATGGCCAATAAGGCATTAATGTATTATACACATTAATTTTATAAATGCTTTGAAGCAATGTGTATTTTTTTCAAAGCACTGTACAAATAAAACTGATTTGAACAGAGTTCCATGGTCTGATGGTCATAATGCTAAATAAACGGTCTCAGTTGTTGCTTTTCCACTTAATGTGGGTGGCTGAAGTCATCAAAAACACTTTAAATCATATATAATAAACATATGTTTGCTCTGTATATATTGAACATCTAGCTGGCTGATATATGAGGTTTTGATCACATCAGTAATGCAGGCTGAATATAATTTTTTTTTTTATTGAGCTTAGACTGGAAGGCTGGGGAGGGAGAGGGGAATTGTGATATGTGGCATGGAAACTGGATCCCCTGAGCACAAAATCTCTTGTAGAATTTCCAGCTTTATTTGGTAATTATAATTTATTGAAAACTACATACACATTTCTGACACTGGCATGTTGCTAAGAGAATTTATTTATTTTATTTATTTTATTTATGAGGTCAGTGAAAATATTGGCAGGCACATTCATGACCTACTGGGCCAAAAATCCTTATTGTTGAGCACTGCTCATGATGCTTTTGTTTGCCTATTTTTCTCTCAGTCAGTTGGAGTGTGATAGAACGAAGCCAGGTGGCTCTGCTGAGAGCGAAGCCGAGCTGAAAACATGGCCATCTGTTACCAGGAGTGATCGGAAGTGTGACCTGCCAGTCTGCCCTCCTGTTCCACCATTGCCATGTGACATGTGACATGGAGAATTAGACATCCTAAAAACTTCTCGGCCTGCACTTTTTTTTACACTGTTTGAACAACAAGTCAAATTGTCACTGGAAAATAGGATCCTGCCCAGGTAAACTCTGTCCGCTTTTACAGCCTTGTTATGCTTATAATTGTGATCTTACAAACTATTCTAACTATTCTAAGATTTGTTTTTAGATAAAGATTAAAAGAGATGGTGGAAGCTTAGTGGTGGTGACGTTAAATTTGTGGGACCGTGGTGTAGTTAGTTTATAACTTACCTTTAGCTTTTTACTTCTGGCGACTGCATTCAGGCTTCAAAATTCATAAAAGTTGTGTTCATCTGTGATAATTATCTTTATGGACAAAACGTGCAAGTATCATAAACCTTTGTCGATCACAGAGCTTGTTTTTAGCGATAACCCAAAAGCCTATGAGAAAATCCTATTTGGTTTTTGTCGAGGGAACCAGCATGATGCTAACTGTTGGTTGGCCTACAAAGTGACGTCATGCACCATCCTAAACAGTGTTTCTCAGAAATTACTTACTGCACCTTTAAGAGTGATTTTAAAATCTTAACAGATCAGTATCATGCACATTCTATTGTGAATATATATACATGTTTTTTCTTAACTATTTGAAAACATGAATGGCCTGTTAAGCATTATATAATGCATGTTATTGGCGTAATGTTATCAGTGCTCTTTATGGTTGGTGATTTGAACAAACCCCAGTCCTAAGCACGCAGCTTATCCCATCCCAATAAACGACACAATAACATATCAATGTCACCATCATGGCAGAACATTGTGCAGAGGCAAGGCAATTCTCACAGATTTGTATTGTAAAGTCTAGGCCTACTCTAAAACTGTATTTAAGTAAATTACTTGATAATATAATGTTTGCCATAGTGCAATGAGACTTGTAACACTGCAAAATTCTACAAACAGGAAACTTGAATTTTTTAAGTGCTGACTAAGTATGTCCTCTTTCTAGGTATTGCAAATAAATAAATAATAATTAAAAAAAAGTGTAAATTATACACTTAAAAATAAAGGTTATTGATTGGCATCTATGGTTCCATTAAAAATCTTTAACATATATGCAAACTTTCAATTCCACAAAAGGTAAAGTGTAAAAAGATTCTTTATTAAAATCGTTATTTTAAGAATTGTTCACAGAAAGGTTTTTTGGGAACCTTGTACTATGGGTGATTTTTACCTTTATCGTATTTATTAGAAGTGTTATGATACAGTACATTGATATGGATAGATGCATCAATCAAATGACTACCAATAGGATGTATTGATAAATCAAAAAGATATCTATATATTTTTTATGTATCTATAAGATTTACTACGATACTTGTTTGACTGTTGTCAATGAGATGAGATGTCATCAAATATGATAAGTTTAAAAAACTTAATTTTGTATATTTATTTTTCTGTAAATGTATTTTTTCAACAACTGGAGTATACCTCATATTGTTGTGTATAATGCAAGAACTAGATTTGCAGATTTTAGAGAGCACAGAAGACTGAAAGTCATTCTTGACTGTTGTCATTGCGTATCTCATTGCACAATCAGAAGACTGAAGATCTCATGTGCAACTTGATATTTTTTAATTTTATTATTATTATGATTTGAAAAACTAGAGTTTTTTTTTGTTATGCATTTCCCAATTGGGATACAAGATTTTTCAATTTTCAGAGAGTTCAATTAAATATTAATGTTAATTAAAATTGGTAAATCATAAACGATCGATTTACATCCCTAGAATTTAATTTCATGAAAGATGTTTTAATGGAGTTTCACAGTTTTAGTAAGTAGTTCATACTTGTACTCACCTGACTTAGGCTGACGTCATTTTTGCTGTCACCGGTAAACTGGCTGGTTAGCTGGTAAATCATGGTGCGACCCCTCCTTCTGGCTTTACTGATATGAGAGTTTCCAGTGGTCCTGTTGAATGGCTTATTATCTGCACAAAATTAAAATAGCCTTAATAGCCTTGACAGTTTACAAATTATAAAGTAAGATTGTGCCAGTGTGTCCATGAGTGATGTTCCTCCATGTGTTTTAGCAGTTTTGTGCATTTTGTAGATGTACCCACCAGTTTGTGAAGACACAAGTCTTCTTTTTATTCATATAATTTATTTTCATTATACAGTAGATGTGCCCTCTAGCTTCTAAACTTGCTATTTCTTATCAAATGTCGAAAACAATGATAAGCGTCGACAACGAAAGAAGCGCTTTCAAGGCTATTTATTTTATAAACATTTAAAAGACAGTGAGAATAATGTTTTTTAGTGAAGACAGTACCATCAGTTCTGCTGCTGTGATGGCTCTTGCCATATGTTTCTGTGATATCCTTGAATGAAAAGAGAAAAAGTACCATCTCCCCCTTCTCATTCTTAATGGGCACGATGTCCAACAGACACCAGAACAAACTTCCTGTGAGAACACATCAAAAAGAAGAGTTACACAGAGATATATGGCTACCTCTAAATCTGGGGACAAACCTCAAAGACACTTAACTCTTACAGTCCGAACAATATAGTAACATATAGCTAGCTAATGTTGACATTGTGTTTAAATTCTATAGCCAGAAGAGAACTGGCCCCCCAATATCGCAATATTTTCGTGTATATAACACCAAAATGTAGTTTTTCGCAACAGTGCTCATTGGGCGACTAAAGAATTGTGGAATTACTTTCAAGCTGCTCCCTGATAAGAATATACCTAGAGGTGGGTGATATAAAAAATGTGGTTGGCTACTAAAAGACGGGTCATTTTCTATCATAGTAATGGTTAAATAACAATCCATTCTGTAAAGCTTCTTTGAAATGATGTGTATTGTAAAAAGTGCTTTATCAGGAGTTTTCAAAGTGTGGGGCATGCCTCCCCAGAGGGGCGCCATAGTGGTAAAATTTTTAAAAATTAATAAATTAATTAATGATGGATAATTTCAATCAATATATTATAGCAGAAACAATACTTTAAAAAGCGAAAAGAAGCAGGTTTTTGGACAATAGACGCCTCTGGTTTCGATCAGATAATTTTAAACCGTAAACTCTTGGAAAGTTCCCTTTCGAAAGGGGATGCTATGGGGAACGCCCTCCACGTGAACAAGGGTCTGAAAAGCTATCCAATCACAACAATCGATATTGACCGGCGACAGCCTATGACGTCACTGATAGGCCTCCATTTTGTGTATGTTGTTTAGGCCATCGCTCTACGGGCAGCAGGTTGAGCTCTGTAGGTCTCCTCCCTTTACGAGAGTTTTTTTTAGTAAGGTTGAACAGTAGACCTCGGTTCCCTGTTAGAAAGTTCCCTTCCCATAGGCCTCCTCTGATTTAGAATCTGAGCCAATCTGTGCTAGTGAACAGGTTGGCCTTATTATACGGAACTTTTTTAGTCAGGCCACCGCTCATCTGAGCATCAAACAGACATTCTGTGTGAGATGGCTTCCTCCCTATCGGGAGTTTTTCTACTGAGGCCTCAGCTCTGTCAAGCTCCAGATAGAACTACAAAATCAAGCATTGGCCCTCGTCGGGCCACCTTGATAGCCACCTTATACTTATATAGCAGTAGTTCTCCTCTCACTTTAGAGAGTCGTTTTGAGATTATAGCTCTGAACTTCAGATATATAATATTCGTGTGTCTGCCCTCATGGGGCCACCTCGATATCTGGCTTAGGCTTAGTATCTAGGATTTTGGTGGCGGTCTGCTAAGCATTCTCGCCTTGAGTCTCTCAGTATCTGAGTGTAGGTTCCTTAGACCATCTGGCCCCCTCTTACTGCAAGAGTCGTCTGGCCAAGGCCCACCTTTTGCATTAGGTGTAAATGCTAGTGGTGTAACTGGGTAGATAGCAGCATAGGTAGCAGGCTACCTTCAAAAAGCCTCCCATGCAGATATCTATGGGCGTTGTCAGGTCTTTCTTTCTAGAGAGTAAGAAGCAGTGTGCTCAGGCCTCCGCCCTTTACAGCATTGAGTGTAGTAGCTAGCAGCAAGGCCTTAAGTTAAAAAAGGATTTTTCTCCTGAGCCCTTGAATAAAATAATTCAAGTCATAAGGTCGAATGCTGTTGGCCACTTACTGAGGCCTCCATTCCCTTGGGTTTAGTAGAGAATATAAAATCTGTCTTGTAAAAATACAAGATAATAGGCCTCGACCCTGATACATTCCTCAGTGTCATGCTGATAGTGCTCCCCTTGTTAGGGTCATTCATTGGAGTACTTTGCTACCCATAGTAACCCATTAGTTACTCCGTCCCATTTGGAATGGTTGAGTATGCCCCCTTAGAGCCAAAGCACTGCCCAGGCTGACGCCTGTGATAGTCAGAGTTTTACAGTAGGCCTCCTCGATACTCCGGTAGCGTAAGATTATACTCTCCTTGCTTTAAAGGATCGATAGCACTTCTGCTGAGTACACTGCCTGTTGGCAATGTTAAATAAGTATAACCAGGCCCACAGAAATGTCTGTGAGAGCACCTAGGCTTCTGAAGGCTAGCTCTGCTAACATCCTCGCTATCAAGTAGATAGGCCTTAACAGGCCTCCTTGAAGGCAGCTCCCCAATGAGTTGGATGCTAAGCATTGCAAAGGCATTAAGTATCACGTTGCAGGCTCCATGGAGCCTCCCTGATTTTAGCCCAGAGCCTGGTCAATTCTTATCAGGTTGAGCATAGTGTTCCAGAATCTATCTGAGTAAGCTCTGTGTGAATACTTAACTTTCCCTTTAATGAACCCCTTCCCTGGAAGCTGCTGGTTCCAAACCTTTGAGCGGGCTTGGTAGGACTTTCATTGTTTGGAGGCCACTTTGAGGCTTATAGCTTGGACAGTGACCATAGGGAATACTGTCACTGACAGCATATATGTGACCCGGAGGGGGAGTATTTCTTGGCATTTTCAGTGTAACTGCCATTTCTGACGTTTCTGTCACAAGCCATATTTGGCATGCACTCCCCTCAGCATGGTGGGATTGTACTTCGTTCCCCATACCGTCATCGACGCAGTGCGAGTTCCCTTTCGAAAGGGAACGTCTAGGTTACGACTGTAACCTCTGTTCCCTTAGAACAGGGAACGAGACACTGCATTGGTAGCCATGCCTCGGGGATGCTTGCTGAACAGTCCCTACAGACGATAAGTGGATGGCATGTTCACTAGGTGCCCCTTTTATACTTCCGGGTCGCACTAGTAGTGACGTCATAGGCTGTCGCCGGTCAATATCGATTGCCGTGATTGGATAGCTTTTCAGACATCGGTTCACATGAAGGGCGTTCCCAATAGCGTCATCGACACAGTTTCTCGTTCCCTGTTCTCAGGGAACAGAGGTTACAGTCGTAACCTAGACGTTTTCAGTCCAAGGATCCAGTTAGCGAATGCATTCAAACAGTCAGTCCAAAACAGCCCTAATGCAGAGGAAACCCGGCCGATTTCATCTGAGATGGTGGAGAGAATAGTGTATTTGGCTTCAAAGCACAATCTCTCCTATTCTGTGATTGTTTCGGAGCAGCCCAAGCTGTTTCTCATCCTGCTGTTAAATACAGACTGAACGACGGCTCAAAACACCTAACCACTGCATGAGCATATGATATGCAAACTAAATTTCTAGGGTGGATACAGCAAACCAGTGTTGCGCTAATAAAGTTTTAATTGTAATCAAGGTAAAGACGATTACAGTGACATACAGGAGTCGAACATTAGGCACACGAGTCCGTTATTGATTACAATTACAAACAAACCGTGTGTTTGCGGCACTCTTTGCGCACTGATCACTGTTGAAAATATATAAAAATTGGGGGGCGGGGAGGCACCATTGTGCACGTTGTGTCAAACAGGAAGCCCACTGTGAACAGACTTTGAAAACCCCTGTGCTACAGTATATAAATAAACCTGACTTTACTTGATATTAGACAAGGCCTAAAAACTCAAGCAACCGCAAAGCAATGCCCAAGCAAACACCCAGAAACCCCAATTGTAATGACAAGATCTGCGAACACTGCTCACATTTCATTCAGAAAATTTGTTTGGTTTATTTGGTTTATAAAAGTCTGGTTTATTTATAGTATATACCACTTTATACAATACAAATTGCTTCAAGTCAGCTTTACAATTGTAAACAGGGGAACAGCATCAATTTCACAATGGTCTTCAGTGATGAATCAGTTTGAGTTAAAATTACAAATCTATGTTACCTGCAATTTTTAAGTACTTTTGAAAACCTTGATTAGCTTGTTCAGGTGGGTTTTAATTTGTATGCTTCAGGATGCATCTTCTCATTCATTCCTACCTTGAACTCAAAGTAACTTATACTCTTTAATCTAACACTTCAATAACTATAGTAAGAGAGATATCTATTTTTGACTTTTAACTGTATAGCCAGAGGAGAACTGGCATCCTGGTGTTGCCTGTTTTCGCTAAAGGTTTTCTCTCCATCCTTGCCACAGTTGCATTTGGCTTGCACACTGGGCAGGGCAACTTAACTTCTTTATGAAACTGCTTAGGGTTGGGCGATACGCCTAAATTTATATGCATTGTTTTTTCATCATGGCAGTGATTATCCAACATATTAGTTGTCAATTGAAGTTAGTACAGTATTATTACTACAGTATTATTACCATTCTTCTTGTAGAACTGCACCTCAGCCTGGTACTCCTCCTTGCCCTCTAGAGCTTTCTCCACACTCTGAGTAACCTGCTCACTAGTGCCCAAGCCATGTAGGAAATGACAGCTGCAGTTCTTCTGCATCACCTCTGTTCGTCCAAATCCCGTCAACTCACAGAATCCATCGGAACAGTATACAATGGGATAGCCACGGTGACCCTGAGCATTCCCAAGGAGGAAGTTGCTGTCTGAGGAACAAATAAAGTGATGAATATTAATGTTTTGAAAGACATTGTAAAGTTAGTTGTGAGTATTGTGTTTTGTGCAGTACTGTTGCTGTACTGTTTTATAATTTCCAAATCAATATTCCTACGTGGGATCTTTGCATTTCTACTTACATGACGCATTTCTGGTATTTAGTTCAAGTGGATGTTATTTTGTTCAAGTGGATGTAAATACCCCTTACGAAAAATAGGTTTATTCAAGTGTGCTATTTTACTTTTTAAACTAAAAATAAGAAAGTATACTTTCAGTCTACTTTGTATGTTCTCAGAAATATACTTTATGTACTTCTGGGGAATATACTTAAAATTGCACTTATACTTGACTTGTACCGACAGAATAACGTGACATGAGAATATGTGTGTATTTTTACGTAAAGTGTTCCACACGTACATTTACTTACGTTTTCATACACACTGAAATGTAGAATAATGACATATTGACAGCACTAAAACATAAAATATTTACATATTGACAACACTAAAATGTAAATTTACTTATGAACAACTTTACAGAGGTACACATTTGTATGTATTCCTATTTATGAATATTAAAATCGTGGCATTAATGTTTTGACTCTATTGTATTCAATTGTCATATCAATTACATGTTTTTAGTCACATTTATTAAATGCAGTTTACTCATCTACTTAATAAGAAATAACAACATTTCGCTCTGTTCGTAACTTCTGCTGCAAACTCATTTAGAAAGATTTCATAATGTTAAACAAGACTACACTTTAAAACCTTAAAATGTTTTCTTTAATCGTTTAACCATTTTGTAATATTTAGTTTGTATCTCCTATACAGCGACTGACAAAATAACCATAAAATACACCAAACCACAACATAAATTCACAAAAGAATTTGTTCGCTGTAATCCAAATCTTTAGAGTCCATACGTTTGCGAGGAACAGATCCAAATTCAGCCCTTTATCCAGCGATCTTCATCTCCATTCTCAGCAGGGACCGTAAACGTCAAATCCTGCTCTCATTATGATGAATTCAAATAAAAAAATTGCACCCTCAAGAAGCGTTACGACATGTTTTACGGCAGTGATATCAAAAGTTCATTGGCTCTGACCTGCTTCGTCACAGATTGCGACATGCAGTGTTTCAGTCGATATACATTTGAAATTGGTAAAGCGCACCTTCACAGAGTGAAGCCGGATTAAAATTTTCATGGATTAAAAACTTAAATTCTGCTCTGTACCTCCTAATAAATACCGCCAGAGAGGACTGCGACTGCAACACATCGTCATTTAAACGCCTTTTGGTAATGCTTTTGACATTTTTTGCAATAAATAAATTGTGATTACACTTGTCTGTCTGTTATGTTTTTTCTTATACTTGTACAAAGTTTTAAGAAATGGTTTTTGGTAGGTGTCACAGATAAACAGGAGAAGGAACACAGGTATCGTTGAACAAGTACTTTATTGAACAGGTAATGAGTAATTTACAGATAGGTTGCAGTCAGTCACACTTAGCTCATTGATCTTTCTTTCTTTTGCAGGTGATGAAGCAGTATACGGATGAGATGGGGAAAATAGGTCCAAGGATGCATATAGTGAGTAGAAGGTGAGCATACAGGTAAGTAGGAGTCAGGCAAGAGCGTTCTCATGTAGAGATTGACGAGACCGGAAAACAGGTGAGTGTGGATGGTGAGTATATGTCGGGGAGGTAATCAAGTGGTGACAGATGGTTAGAATTCAGGCGATTGTGAACGGATGGGTGGAGCTGAAGGACCTGAGAAGGGTAGGATCCAGTATATCATCCTGTGGTACCCAGGATCGTTCCTCTGGGCCATATCCTTCCCAGTACACTGAGTACTCTAATTGGCCGCCTTGTGCTGGGAATCCAGGATGGAGTGGCCCTGTGGAGGAAGGGAGAAGAGATGCATAGTGAGGTTTAAGCAGTGACACATGGAAGGAGGGAAAAATCTTATATTGAGGAGGTAGGTTTAAGCGATACTTGACATCATTGATCTGTCGTTGAATGGTGAATGGTCCAATAAATCGGGGACTTCGCTTGCGGGATGGCAGCCAGAGAAGGATATCACTGGTAGAGAGCCAGACCTTCTGAAGAAGCGGTGGTTGAATAAACCCTTGTTCCAGGGCTTCCTTGATGTATTCATCCATGACCTTCTGCTCCGGGATCGACATAGGATAGACTTTCCCTTTGGGCATGGTGCCACAGTCACATGGCCGATGAGGTGGAAGTGGCCAGTTGCTTGCTGCAAACATCCTGGAACTCCCCATTCTCCTCTGGGAAACACACAGTGGAGGAAACACTCTGGCTTTCGATGGTGGTGGAATTCACAGAGACAAATTCTGTGATGAATGGATGAAGCCGAAAGTGGGAGGAGTCAAGGCGGAGCCGGAAGGTCGACAGGCCGAGATGGAGTAAAGAGATCAGAGACTGGAGGCTCGACGTCACACCAGGGAATCCCCGGAGACGGCGAAGCACTAGAGACATCCGGCAGCGGTGGGGCTGGAGGACAGTAACAAACTCAAGCTGGCTGATCATCTATCATCAAGAAGGACATGCTGTCAATCAGCAGCCTTACTCCCAAACGATAAACCCAGTTGCGAACCCAGTTGTTTCAGTACAATTCATTGTAGCTGAATGTTAAATGGTAAAATGGTAAATGGACTGCATTTATATAGCGCTTTCACAGACCCAATGGCTACCAAAGCGCTTTACATATTGCCTCACATTCACCCATTCATACACCGACGGCGGTGTCAACAATGCAAGGCGACATCCAGCTCGTCGGGTGCAGCTGGGGTTAGGTGTCTTGCTCATGGACACCTCGACACTTAGTCAGGTGGAACCAGGGATTGAACCACCAACCTTCCAGTTTGTAGACAACCTACATGAACCACTGAGCCACTGCCGCCCCACTTAACGTCTTTAGAAGCTGTAGCCACCTCGACGTAGATTTGACTGGGAGAGCTCTTATCATATTCCCCAAAGTCCTGTTGAATTGTTCTGCTAAACCGTTACCCATAGGGTGTTATGGTGTGGTGTGAGATTTTTGAACAACAGCCATCGCAGGCAAGTTCTTAAAGATTTTTCTTTCAAAATACGCACCCTGGTCCGAATGCATTCTCTTTGGAAAATGCATTCTCTCATTCTCATAAATGCAGAAGAGGTCATTCCAAAGGCGATGGGCAACTTGCTAAGCAAACTGGTTGTGACAGGGGAAGTCATGTGCCTTCTTAGAAAATAGCTTTTTCCAGTGCTTCAAAAGGTTTGTCACAGAGCTAGGTTCCGTTGCTCTCTCACTCTTTGAAGGACGTTTATGACTCAGAACAGATGACTCTACCAACTATGTTGTCCCGCTCTTGGAGATGGACAAGTCTGGAAAACTGGATCGCAACAGATGGATCTTCAGCAGGGAGCTGGAGTGTCGTTGGACTGGCCACGGTCAACGGACTAACTCCACCATCGCAGTGAGCACCCAAGACAGGAGAAACTTCAGCAGGATCGAAGGATCCTGGACATGAGCCATTCACGTCATCCTGCAGCTCGTTCTCAGCTTCGCTGTCACTGGTAGCCTGCACATTTTGACAGTTTTTAGTCACACGAAAGGCATTATGCACAGTTCCAGTAACAACACCATTCACCTCATCCAAGAGAGAAACATGTTTTTTTCAACAGACGATGGCTGACACAAGACTTAACAATGGGCTCTCTGCTCTAGGTATCTGTAACAATGTTTTTCCTTCCTGGCACATACTTCACATCAAAGTCGTATGCAGGTAGCTTCGCCGCCCATCACTGTTCAATCGCATCCAATTTGGGTTTGGTTAGAATATAGAACAAGGGATTATTATCAGACCAATCAGTGAAATGTCTCTCTTTTAGCCAATGGCTAAACTTGTCGCAAATGGCCCACTTTAAAGCCAGAAATTCGAGTCTATGTGCTGAGTAGTTCATCTGGGACTTGGGGAGTGTTTTGATTACAAAAGCAAATGGGCATGCAATATTCTCACCAGACAGCACCTGAGATAACACAGCACCTATGCCATTCAATGTAGCATCAACAGAGAGAATAAAGGGATGACTGAAATCTGGGTGTCATTCGACACTCACTAGTCCAATTCTCTGGTATAAGCTTCAATGACACTGAGTGGCCTCCTTATTTGACCACATTTCCTTTGAGCTATGTTCTGTGACCGATCTGATTGGAGACTAAAAAATGGGGTTTGCCTTAGCAGAACAGTCCTTATTGAAATGCTGATAATATAAAATCATACCCAGGAAAGATCTGATCTTCTTTTGAGAAGGGGTTATACCATCCGTTTACCATCACCGAAAATGGACATCATCATGCTCATAAAGGTTGCTGGACTGCTGGTCAATCCCTGAGGTAGCCGATTGTACTCATGGAGACCGAAAGGAGAAAAAAAAGTGGTGTACTTCTTATGCTTTTCAAACAATGGAACATTATAAAACCCAGAAGTCAAGTCCACAGTCAAAAAGAAAACCTTGCCTCCCAGGGCTGCGAGTACATCCGCTTGGTGGGGGAGTGGGTGGGTGTCCTTCACTGTCTTCACATTCAGCCATCTAAAATCTGTACAAATACGAAGGTCACCATTCTTTTTCCACACTAAAACTAGCGGAGATGCATATTCATTCTGAGATTTCCTTATAATGCCCTTCAATTCAATCTCATTTAAGACAGTGCGCAGCTTATCGTAGTGGCATGGGGCTGTACATCGTTTCTCGTCCACCAAGTGGATTTTGTGGACAAAGTCGGTGGCTTCCCCACAGTCGGTTTCCCCAGAGGTCGACTCATACTTCTTAATTAAATTCAGAGGCCCATTCTAGTTTCCCAGCCCTTTGAGAAGATGGAGATTTCACTCTCTCAGGACAAACAAAGCGGGAGTGGTCAGGAGAGCGACACTGGAAGCACAACTTTTTGTCACGACAATGTGTGAAACCAGAATGATCAGGGCTCGAACAGACAGTGCATGGCAGGTAATTGAGACCTTTTATTTGAACAAACAAGAAGGAATTGTTATGTAACTGCCCCGAGATTTGGGTTGAAGATCAAAATGCTGCTTTATTGTGACAATCCAGAATCGTAATCCATAAAACAGGCAAAATGTCAAACACACGGGCAAACAATCCAGACAAGCAACAGGGCAGAAAACACAGGCAAAAAGGGTAAACCAAGACACATGAAACCAGGCAGAAATGCAGTGTAACACATACAAGACTTCACAAAGAATGACAGAACACACAGGGCTAATTTAGGCAAAGTTAACAAGATAATGAGACACAGCTGAATGAATTCAAGTTTAATGAGTCCAAGCAGTGGATTATGGGAAATGTAGTCCATGATAAAATAGCATAAGAGTCAGGATGAGTGCCCTCTAGTGGAGATCATGGGCACTCCAGCTGGTGGATGTGACAGTAATAGACACGTGACAGAAACTAGAGAAACAGTTCAATATTATGGAGAGATGGCACCATCTGCTGATCTGGAGGTGGAACATTGGGCTGAGATGTTTCAACGACACATGACTTTTTTTATACATAAAACTAGCAAAAACATCTCGCATGCATAACTTACTACATCTACACTGGCTACACTGGCTATGTCAATAAATCTATTTAATCTATCAAAAATGTAGTACTGCTCAAAATGATGTTTGCTCATTATAATTCATTTACTACCATAATTATTTATTTGTGCACTATTTTAACTAATTTAAAAATCCACCTGGACACAGAAAGCAAGCAGAGAATTTCCCCCCCAAAAAACAGTTATGTGTTACCATTTCCTTTGATTCCGCTTAATCAAAATGATCTTCGCAGCAATCCTTCTGTAGCCGCACACACTTAAGTTCACCCGTTTAAGTAAACTTTGCGTATGTTCACAGCGCTTTTGTTGTGGAGGTACCTTGACAGGTTAATCAATATACAGTATATTACAATTCAATTGACAAATGATTTTAATGACAATAAAATAAACCCCCTTATGTGTGTGTTACATGTGCTGAAACGTTGTGAATGTAAGTAAGCCAATAATGAACGTAACACATGTTTTCAAGCAACAAATCAGTGCGTACTTTTACAAAACAATACAAAAAAAAATGTTTTGCCTTTTTGACCTTTTCCAGACTAACAAGCTTTAGTCTTTTTTTTTGTCAAGGCATTCCTGTAGCTCAAACAGTAGGGCATGGCTCTATCAAGTATACCTTGAATGCAAGGTAAGTCACCTTGGATAAATGCATATAGGCTAAATATGTAAATGTAAGTTCAATCTAATTCAGGCAATAGTCTGGTTTATATGGGCAGGGCCAGACAAATAAAAGCTGTTCATTATCCAAAACAATAAAAAACAACCCACCACAATTAGCTCTTTATGTTTTATTAACAAGATTCAGAAGGAGCACATTCAGATAATCTACCCAATCAGCAAAAGGAGGCCTATATATAGCAGACTCACCTCTGTCCCATGACAGTTTTCCAGCATCCCTCCTCCACCCCAACTCACTCCTCACTCTTATCTGTTCTCATCCCAGCCAGGGAAATGGGGGAAGTACTCTGGGTTGTAAGTGTGAACTTGTGAACTGGTGGAAGACTTTTGAAACCACCTGACTCTATTTATATACTACCACAATCTATAATAAAATCTCAAATGTGCACAAACTCACAAATACAGATGGGGACAAACACTTTATTTGTTGCCCTAAACAATAGTTTGATAGGTTGTATAGCTTTAACATTTTTGCTCTTTCATAAATAGATTTTATTTGTTTGTTTGCTTGATAATAATCTACCATTTTGCTGTAAGGCTGTTTACTGTAACTTTTCTATTGTGATAAATTACCCAATATAGTGTGACAACATGCCCCAACAGCAGGGTCAATACGTGTTAAATGAAATGCATGTTTCTTCCTGGTCAGTAACGGTGGAAATGTTCATAGTGTTTTCTGTAGCTACTAGCACGGTATATGCCTATTCAGAAATGGACATTAAAATATGAACTACCCTGATAAATATTCTCTGAAGTAAATTGTGTGACAGCTAGCCCTGATCTACATGATATATTTGAATAAAATTAAAGGTTATATAATCAATGAAAGCGAAATGATCAACATTTGTTGTTTGTAGAAGCGTCTTCAGTAAGTAAGTCATTGGTTAGTACCACAAGCTCAGCTTCACTGCGTTTACTGCGCAGGAAAGCTGGTCTCTACGGCAACAAGAGGGCAGCTATTTTGGGCCGTGAGTAAACTGGTGCTCTGTTACCCAGAAACATCCAGCATTGTGAAGAAAGAGCAGAGAAATGTATCTCAAGAGGAGAAGTTAACATTAACGACACATCACATATTCTTCATCTCAAACTGTTGTAAGAAATAAAGACCCATGTGAGAAAACATCCTCATAATGTCAAATGAATCCTCATGTGAAGAACATGACATAAGTAAAGTGAAGAAAAAGGAAATGAATCCACAAGCACATAAAATGCCTTCTTCTTCCTGCTGAGAGTCAATGGCAGCCCACAGCACAATGTGGTAAAAAGTTGAAAAGTGAAATTTGGCACATTGATAGGATAAACGGCCCGTTCTCAAACACTATCTTCTATCTCAAACACTTCAGCATCACCAACAAGTCAAAGAAAAAAAAAAACTTTTTTTAACCAGCACTTGGTAACCTTGATAGATGTTGTTGTGATAATGCTCTGAGGTTGTGTGAGCCTGTAGTGCTAAAATATAGTGCTTTATACAAAACTGATTGTTGCTAAGCAGCTTAATATTAATAATCCGGAAAATAACAGTGTAAATGTTGCCAAATTCAGTTGATCAAACACTCATGCAGAGTATAATTATATCTTGCAACATAGCATTTTATTAAAATAAGAAGCTGTGAATATGCATGAACATGCAGTTGTGGGTTTGTGTGAGAGAGGTGTTATCTAACAGAAGAGATTAAGTTTGCATGTAAGCTGTGTGAAGGGGTTTCTTCATTATGGTAAGAAAGCACAGATGGGAGGATTGTATGCTACTTTTATGTCATCAGATTTGTGTGGTATGGCTGCTCATAATCTTGGTACAAAAACTGTTATAGAAGAATATTATCAAATTTCTTCAGATTTGAAAACTTTGTTGAATTGTGTCAAATTTTTTTTTTTTTTTTTTTTTTGCTTTATGATTATATTTTAGTATTTTGTGTTGTAATACTAAAAATCGTAGTCATTTGATAGATATTTCGATGCAATAGAGTAAAATTCACATCCTGGTTTTATTATTATGAATGAGAACCTTAACCTGTAATCAGTGTTTTAACTAGTGTCTAAGAAGGTTCAGGATAAAAGGATTACACAAACAGCTAGTCCCTTGACATCCACTTTTCCCATGACACACATGTATCTCAAAGACTAATGCCATGAGAGAACTCCAGCTACTGCAAAACATGAGATGTATCTCCCATGATAAAACAAGAACAAACACACAAGAGTATGGTATCTGTGCACCTCTTATACAGTATTAACTGCTAACACAGTTATTTTCACTTTAAAGCTTATGATATGCCTTCATTTTGCTGTTAAATGAACAGTAAAATAACAATAATAAAAACCTGATAATTGATATTCAAGATTTATCCAGCCATTTCAAAAATCTATAAAAATGTTGATGGCTTATTTTACACTACATGTGCTTACGCGTACTTACAGGTGTACTTAGTAAGAAAACACTGGGTAATATAACCACAGGGGTTAAAGTTAGGTTTAAGGTTCAGGGCTAATACCTAGTTATTACCCAGTTATTTGTAATTACTGTAATAAGTCCATTGTATGTGCATGGGGAACAGGACTGTAAAATGAAGTGCTACCAAAATGTTTGTCATTTGAAAAGAAAATGGTACAGTAAAAACATTTTTTTTGGTTAACTTTAAGTTACTAAATTTTATCCAATCATGCAATCTCCTAGGAATGAACCCATGACCTTGGCGTTGCTAGCTAGCACCATGACCTATGCGATTGCAGAGAATTATTAAAGATGATAAATTATTTATGGCTGAATCAACCACACAACATTAGTTTGCCTAACAGAAGTTATTTTTAAGGGTCAGATCAGTTAAGTCACTTTATTTTCAGGCCAGAAACACTCAACAAAAAGCACAGCCTTACTGTACATAATTAATGTGTGCTCTTGCGCTACTATGGCAGTATCACACCTCAGTGCTCAAGGGGGTCATTAAACCAGATGTGTAGTAATTCTGGTAGCAGTTATAAACATGTCAATAGTAAATTGGAAGACTCTATGAAAGTATAAGTTTGTTCAAGACACAAGCCATTATTTTTGCACATCCATTTGATAAACCTACAGAAATGAAAAACCTTCACCTTTATGGTACCAACTGTATTTCTTTTTTCAGCTTGAGTGTTTTCTCTCCATGCATATGGGTTTGGTGTGTGTGTATTTGTGCCAGTACTTACGAGTGCCATCGAAACGAGTTGCAATGGTGTCCAGGAAGGTGTTCTGGGGTGCGAGCAGCCCCTTCATCACTGGCATGATGCCAGGTTTCCAGAGTCAGCAAATGTTTAGGGGAAAAGCCTGTATGAAGCATCAATCTTCACTACATCCCAAAGAAAGGGTGGCCAGGGCAGATGTGAGGTACAGCAGAGAGAGCGCATCCTAAAAGAGCGAACAACCCCCCAAATGATGACTCCTCACTGTATACTTCCTCAGTCCAGTGGATGTATGATCAAGAAACAAACAAATCCCCTTCCTTAATGCATACCGTGATGAACACTTCCACTTAGTTCCTTATCCTCTGTCTTCCCTGGTGTGTCTCTCTCAGCTGTGTACACCTGCATGACAGGAGAATTCACAAGCCGTGCATCTCTTAAACGGTCTGGGTTTGTTTTTGTTCTGTAATACACTGTGGCAGAGCTACAGAGACAGTTACATTTGTCTTCACCCCTCCTTCTCTGGCTCTTTCTCTCTTTATCCACACCCACTATTCATTTCCTCCAGTTCTCTTCAGCCACTGAGAGCACACACACACACACACACACATTCTTGAAAGAAATCTATCACACATACTCATCTTTACATATCATTCCTGTACAGTCACAATAACCTCCAGAATCACAGCGAAATTATAATTCAGTTTGCAGAAACAAATGTGGGTAATAATGGGTCTTTTTAAATGTCCTCTGCCTTTTCATATTATTTTACAAAAACATTCATGTAATAATGAGAGAAACTTCAAAAGAACTTTCAAAGGGAATATTGTTATTATTTGCTTATTCTTTAATGCCAATGCTTTTCCTGGAGAGCTACTGTACAATCAAAGAAAAAAAAGGTTCAGTTGAGTTCAGTATAGAACCTTAGGTTTCTCAACTCAATTTTAAAGAACACTTTATGCCAAAAAGGTTCTAAATGAGGAATAATGTCTATATGGAGAAAAGGTAATACGTTGCATCATCTCATGAATAGTTAATTATAATACTTTTATGATATTAACACACAATGAAGCATGTATTATACACTTAAGGTGTAATTGATTATTGTTCCCAGAGTTATAATGTTAGGCTCCAGCATCCCACAATCCTACAGAAAACAAACAGTTATAAATAGTTATAATGTATAAGTCTCATGTCTTGACATTGTTTATCTAAGATCTGAACAGTACATCATGAGTGAAAATTGGTTGTTCATTCAAGTACATCCTGTATGTTATAATGAACTATAGCTCCATTTAAAGGGGTGGTATAACCCCCCTTTTTACAATATGTAAAATAAGTCTCTGTTGTCCCCAGAGGGTGTATGTGAAGTTTTAGCTCATAATACCCCACAGATATTTATTTTTTTACAGTATGTTAAAATTGTCCCCTTTTGAGGGTCAGTAAAAACGGGTTGTTTCGTGTGTGTCCCTTTAAATGCAAATCAGCTGCTGCTCCCGGCACATAGGGCGGAGCTTCAAGACATGTGTGTGTTAAGCCTAGTTCACACTACATGATTTTAAAACGTCGGGCTCAACTGTCCGGTTCACACTACATGACTTGCTCTCTGTGAAATCAGGAGTGTTCAAGTTGTTGAGCTGTTCACACCACACGACACAACGTGATTGATCCGCAACAGGAGGTAACGCACTACACGAGTTGACAACAACTCTGTCACCCAACGATTCAATCTTGTCTACAAACCACGTTTTGTTACAAAAAATCACGCGATAAAACGAACCGGAAATGACGCAAAACATCACGCGCGCTAATACCCAGCGAAGAAGACGAAGACCCATGCCTTGCTCTGATTGGAGCAACCCATGCCTTGCTCTGATTGGCTGTAGCTCATGACATCACTGAGGTTGAGTCGGGCGACAGCTCTGGATATCTAGCATGCTAGATATTTTTCTGGGCTCGGCGACGCGTCTGCGAGGCGTCAGCGAGCGTCTTTGATGCGTTGTTGGCTCTTTCATACTAACAGATTGGCAAGCGTCCACCGTCCGCTAATCCGCGCGATTTGCACGCGATAACACCCTGACCTGTCGGCGAGCTCAACGATTTGCAAATCGGGCTTAAATCGGGCTTATAATCCTGTAGTGTGAACTAGGCTTTAGAAGCTCCGATTACCTCACGCAGACAAGCACTAAAATGTCAGAAACTGTTCTGCCTTTTATGTTTAAACTGAAGTCGGACAATGATGGAAAGACTCAAGAAGTGACAACATGTAGAATGCAACAGAACGTTTCTGAATGGTTAGTTGATGGATTTTTGTCGCTGATGTGGAGTTAACTTTCTTCAAGTCTTTGATTAGCATGTTCTGTCATGATAATCTCTAAATCGCTCGTGTGGGAACTGGAATTGTGTTACTTACTGCGCATGTGAAAAGACGGATGCGACAGCTTGAGCAGACTCTATGTGCTCTACTACAACAACTCTTTCTCTTCTCAACATGGACTGCGGGGTTTATATACATTTTAGGGTTGGTGATGTCACTAACCCAGGAGGAATGTCGTGTAGTCCCTACCAGCCATTTGTTGCTGTTATGATGATAGCAGAAGAACCCAAGTGCAGACGAGGCAAGGGAACGAGACAACACAAGCACATGGCCAAAACACAAGACCATGTGCTTGCACACAAAACATGATTCTGTCATGATCCTGCCTCAAGACTAGAGAAAATCAAGGACACGAGGGCAGAATCATGACAGTTGCAGTCCTTAAAAAACAATTTCTTTAAAAGCAAATATCTTCCTTTGCTTTGAACTTTGAGGGTTGTAACTTTGCAGATGTTGTTTATGCTCAAACAGCAACATTACACACTAACTAAAGTTAGAAAAGTGAAATCAAAATCAACCACCCCTTTAAACTTATTTAAAAGTAAACATAACTATTTTATAAATACATTAATAAAGACTCATTGACCTATACTGCATTATACGAACAGTTATAATTACATTTAAATTATTTTTTATAATTACTTATGAGTCATGCATTTTCTTTTTCAATGCACATACTCATAATCATTATACACTGATTTATAAGAATTAATTAGGCAGTCGTATGGTTCCATGAATGTATTTATAAAGATGCAACCAGCATTGCTAAAATGTTATTATATTATAGTTACTATGACTTTTTAGTAATTCAGATTTATTTTTGTCAAATAAGTGAATACATTGTTATTAATATCCATGTTGTGTTATACTTATTGTGAGTGATAATACAGTTACTAACATCTATAAATTCATCATTGATGGCTTTAAGTAAAGTGAAAACATAGGATGCAATTTTCCTAAAGCAAATGTTAAGAAATCATGAAGATTTGCTCATTATACATTTTAAGTTGTTTACTTGTAAATGTAACTGAACAATAATTCCTGTAATAAAAGAATGGGGGGAAAACATTAATATGAACCATTAATCATTAATACAAACAGTTAATATATATATATATATATATATATATATATAATGTTACATACTAGCAAAACCCTACAACAGTATATTTTTTTTAAAGTATAATTCCAAACTTCTATAAGCAATATCATGCATATGGCTGAGGAGATATAGATTTTAACAAATCCAAATTACCATTCATGACCTCTAATGCAAACATTAGCCATTAAAGACATAATTGATAACTAATTGGTATACAGCAAACAAGTGTCTCTGGATCTATTTTATATTTGATCATTGATAAATCAGTGTATAATGGATTATGTGTATGCACATTGAAAAAGCAAATGCATGACAAATAAAAATAATATAAATGTAACTTTAACTGTTCTTATAATGCAGTATAGGTCTTAATGAGTCTTTATAAATATTTATAGAATAGTAATACTTCATAATAAATAAGTATAAATGGGGCTATAATTCATTATAAGCATGGTCTTCATAGAAAGTGTTGCCAAAAAAAACTTCCATCTGTTTAAATGAACCAAAGATTTTAATTTCTCAGAGGAATTTCCCATGATCTCTCACTCACAGTAAGAAATGCAAAAGATAGATGGATGAAATCCCTGGAATGACTTTCCACAGTATACATTGACAGATGCACTCTTGTAAATCCTCTCTGGGTCACCAAAGGATACCCACACTGTGTGCTCAGGACATTCAACCCTGCCTCATTTATACAGGAAATGGATCATTATGCAGATTGAGAAATTTCATTATGAATAAAAGCACTTAGTTAATGGTAGGTCAAATGTTATGGAGCTTATAATATAAAAAAAATGCTTTGAATTTGAATTATTGACAAGTGTAATTATCAAAATTGAACATTATGTGGAGTTTTAAATAGTTCTGAATTTGTTTCTTTAAACGAATTTTGACGAATTTAAATGTTTTTATGTATTTTATAGACATGTATTTTCAATCAGCTGTTTTTTTGTTCTGAATTCTTAGACTGCAAATATCCAGTTTTAAAAAATACAAATTCAAGTTTTCAAGATTAAGAAAAAATTTGAAACTTCAAATTCCGTTTTATAAAATTCAAAACGCAGAATTCAGATCATACAGAAAGTAGGTCACAGGTCATCAACAGGGAAGAGTAGAGGATCTCAGAAAAGCCGAACGAAGCATTTCGGCCAATTACAGAGCAGCACTCCAGTAGTTTTCTGGTGGTGGTTCAAGAGAATCTTTGTATCATTCTTTCAGTTGTTTTTTGTTTTAATATTGAAAGTAGAAAAATGAGAAAACTGTCCCTTTTCGTTTTTTTTTTTCATAAAAAAAAAAAACGAAAAACAAGAATTCAGCTTGATTTTTTATTTATGATGTAGGCCTTGCATTTTATTCAAATGTATTATAATTTATATCTCAAAAGGATGCGACTGTTCGGACACTCTTGCTTACTGCACTGCACCTTCACTGTAAAAAAAATCTGTAGAAATTACAGTATTACTGGCAGCTGCTTGCCAGTAACTTACTGTAGTTTTAAATTGATGTTATTTACTGGCAACAGTTTGTTCAAAGTTAAATGAACATTAAACATTAACAAGTCTTTATCTTTACAGAATAAAACTAAAATAACAGCCTCATGCAAAGCATTCTGGGAACCAAAATCTGAAGAAGAAAAAAAAAAAAAAAAGGTTGAAGAAGATTTCTGATTCCCAGAATGCTTTGCATTAGATTGTTATTTTATCATTTTATTCTGTAAAGACAAAGACTTGTTAATTGTTTAATGTTCATTTAACTTTGAACAAACTGTTGCCGGTAAATATACATCAATTTAAATCTACAGTAAGTTACTGGCAAACAGCTGCATAACTACAGCAATTTTTTTACAGTGTTGCTCTATTGCTTTTATATTTTATCTCCTAATTTTAACTTCAGCAAATCAGCACAGTGCTAAATCGACATAGCTTAGCATCAATGTTAAAACTAGAAACTTTTGTGACTGGAAGATTTCTACAAAAAAAGCGGTTTTCCTATCCGACCAGCCTCTCACTGCCATCAGCTTACATTCCGGAGAAGGGAAAACACCTACAT